CCTAACGGTTAAATATTACTTGAAAAGTTTTATGGTAGCTCAAAGACTGCGTAATAGTAATAACAATGTCATCCAGACAGAATTTCGGTCACGGCGACCAGTCTCAACAGAGTCTAGCCATCTGCGCGGAAATGCCTGAATATAAGCACAAGCACACTCCCTCACTCTGCTAGTCTAATTAAAATGGAACAGTAATGCGACACGACCGGAGAGAGATCAAGATTTTTAGATTTTTCTGACAAGAAATCCTCAGTAGCAGGTCGGATTCAGGAAGTTGACGGTGGTTTACTCCCGTGCCTCGGAAAGCACGTAAAGGTGTAGGTAGGTCTTGCATAGTAGTAAAAATACAAGAAACATTATCTCATCAAAAATATGAATAAAATTTACACGGAGCTGCATCTATTCAAGGTGTTTCATACTGCGTGTTGATATTATTTCACTTAGAAAACGAAAATGTCAAATAGAATTGAAATTTAAAATACAGAAAATTTTCTTAATAATAATATAAACTAAATACAAACTGACGCATTAGTAAACTGGTTTCAACTTCTTACTATATAGCTCGAAGAACTGGCAACCGAAGGGGAAGAAAGGTTCTCGTACCGGTTAGGCAAAGTGTAGGGTGGCCCCCCACTATATAAAATGACGACCTGGTAAAATAGGCAGGAAGTCGATGGATGCAGGTGGCTCAGGACCGTGCTTTGTGGTATTCCTTGAGGGAGACCTATTTTCAGCAGCGGACTTGTAAAGGGCAGTAATGAAGATGATGATGATGAAATATGAATAAATTTTACACAGAGCTGCATCTCTACAAGGCAATGCAATTTGTACTTCGTCTTATAAAGTGTAAGAACCAAAATAAACAAACTGACTAGTTCATAATCCTGAAAGTAAGGTCGGAGTGGCAGGTCCCGTTGTGCAATGGTTGCCAGCAAACAGCACAGCCGTCGCAACTGCCACTGGTCCAGGGTGCGGCAGCGAGGCTCGGGGGGTGGTGGACATGCCTCTAATAAACAGTCTGATGACGTTCGGGCTCGGTCATTAGCATCTAAAATAGACAGACAGACAGTTAAATGCTGCTGTGTTTCGAATGGTGAGTGTAGAGAACCGTAGATCCTTTTTACTGGAAACGAGGCATTCCATCTTAGTCCTCAGGGGTGACAACGCATCTGCATTTGGATTCTTAATTGAGTATAGTTGTAGATGTTTATGGGCCACAGCATCGATTTACCATCAGGTGGACTGTGGGTTCGATTGTCACTCTTATTCTATTAAATAAAAAATAAAAAAAAAACGTTGGAAACTAAAATATTATCAAATGAGTGCTTAAGGTGAGCATTTCCTGCCTTCTCCGCTTCACGCATATTTGTCCAGCATGAAATAAGCATGCAACATGGACAAAAAGTACTTTATTTGAAACGTTTTGCTTATTGTCAGGAGTATATAGATGTAAATAGATATTTATTCTGTGATGGAAGCACTGAGTTGTTTAAAGTCATGATGACATAAATTTTTGATAAAATACCTTTTTTTAGTATAAAAAATATTATCAGGAAATAAATGAAAATGTAGAAGATGAAAATAATCTAATTCAGTATAATGCCTTTCATATTACAGTAATATATTATCGCTTAAAAAACGAGAACTAACTATTTTTCTACAGAAGGTTAATCAAAAAAATATACAAAATTTAACCTGCTCAAAGTTTAAATGCAGACGACATGATGTTGCTGAGCCCATCTATTAACGCACTGAGGATATTACTTAATATTTGTGATACTTATGCTGAGACTCACGGTCTCATTTATAATGTAAAAAAGTGAAGTGTGGTTATTTCGAGCTGGATCAAAAATTGAAACGATTCCACCTGTTAAGTTAAGGAACGTACAGTTAAATAGGGTGTATCAATTTAGGTATCTTGGTCACGTTTTAACTGAGGATCTGACTGATGATGTGGACATAGAAAGAGAAAGAAGGGCATTGGCGGTTCGCTGTAACATGCTGTCCCGTAGCTTTGCACGCTGTACAGAAGAAGTTAAGGTAACACTTTTCAAATCCTTTTGCCAGTCATTTTACACGTGCAGTCTATGTGTTAAGTATACGCAGAGAGCCTACAATGCCCTTCGGGTACAATATAATAATGCCTTCAGGATGCTGATAGGATTACCGCGGTATTGTAACGCTTCAGGGATGTTTACAGTGTACGGTACGGACGGTTTTCATGCCATAATTCGAAAGAGAATAGCATCTCCAATGCGCAGGGTTCATGGGAGCTCCAATAGCATTCTGAGGGCAATATCTGATAGATTTGATTGTTCCATCCTAGGAATGGATGCGTATGCACTTGCATGTACCTGGTGTCATGGGGCGGCAAAAATAAAAAATAAATTAAATAATGGTTATGAAAATTGTGAGTGTAATAATTTAAGACTAACATAGGTTAAGCTAATTTATTAACATAATTATGGACTATATGTGGTTCTGAAATAAATTTAATTATTATTTGGGGTATCTATATAATTTTCTCATCTCGTTGGGTTCTATAAATATATAATTTTAAGTTAAAATGAAAAGATAAATATACATAAAATATCAATAAAATAAAATAAATACAAAAAATACATAAATAAATAAGATCCAACCAGATGGAAGCCCTCGGCAGGGGAGACCAAACGGCCGAGGGTTAGGGGGAAGGGAAAGAAACCGACGGACGATGCGGGCGGTATCGAGGAGCACCGCCTTGTGCGACGACCGGAGCGGTCCGTCACGGAGTTCCAGTCGCCTCAGATGACCCGAGAGGCTGACTGGGATTAGCCCATTCGCAGAGACGACTACAGGAATAATTTCGGCCGGCAGACCACCCCACATGTTGGTCACCTCGTGAGCCAGGTCCAGATATTTTGTTTGTTTATCTGTTTCGGCTTTCACGAGGTTCTCGTCATACGGAATGGTAATGTCGACCAAAAATATCCTTGACTGTGCCCGGTCCATCAGCACAATATCAGGCTTATTCGCAAGAATAGTCCTGTCTGTGATGATGGCCCGGTCCCAGTATAGCCTGGCGCGGTCATTTTCGAGCACGGCTTCCGGAAAGTACTTGTAATACGGCAATTTCCGGTCCACGAGACCGTATTTCAGAGCGAACTCCTGGTGTAGAATTCTGGCTACTAGGTTGTGCCTGTGCAAGTACACAGAGTTAGAAAGCGCCGAACAACCGGAGATGACATACCTAAGTGACTCACCGGGATGGCGACAAGCTCGACAGATGTCGACGGTGCCATCCTTTAGGATGTATCTCCGATAGTTGTTGGTCTTAATAACCTGATCCTGTATTGCACAGACAAAACCCTCGGTTTCCCCAAAGAGGTCACCAAAGCGTAGCCAGTGGAGGGAGGCTATTGTGTCTACGAAAGGCTCATGTAGAGCCTTGTAGAACCTCCCGTGGAGCTCCTTCTCCTTCCATACGGTCTCCCGGTCGGAAATGCTCTGCACTGCTGGGTCTTGCCATTGCTCGTTGGCTAAGGATAGAGGGGTAAGTCCTTTATTACAAGAAATGATGTCTTTATAGAATGGATCGTCCGATCTCGCCAGGAAGTACTCGTAATTACGGAGGCTGCACACTTCGCGATCATGAATGGTGACCGCGCTCAAGAAGCCACGCCCACCATGCTTTCGCGGCAAGTACAGCCTCATTACCGACGATCTCGGATGATGCATCCTATGGGACGTCATGGTAGCGCGGACTTTTCTATCCAAGGCGTTAGGTTCAGTCTGAGTCCATTTGAATATGCCAAAGTTATACATGAGGACAGGCATGACCCAGCCGTTATATGCGTGTGCCTTATTCACACCGGAAAAAAGGCTGTTAAGCACTTTGGTCAAGCGTGCATAAAGCATGTCGCAAACTGACTGTTTCATAACAGTACTGTTTCATTCATGCCCTCAGAGTTAGCAACACTTCCCCTTTCAACATGGAGGACCGCACACTTATCCATCCCCAGCTCCATTCCAATAGAATTGCTAAATTCGCAAGTGATGTTTAGCAATTCCATAAGATGGGAGCGACTGGAGGCGAATAATTTGAGGTCATCCATATAGAAAAGGTGGGTCACTTTTGTACCTCCTTTCCGAAGCTGAAATCTTCTCCCGGAGCCCTCCAGTAAAGTACTGAGAGGGTTCAAAGAGAGGCAGAACCAGATTGGACTCAGACAGTCGCCCTGGAATATACCCCCTCTTATTCTTATGCGACTTTCCGCAGCCGTCATCCGCTCGCCTAGATGACAGAGGATCGTACTCCACTGCCCCATACACTGCTCGAAGAAATCTTGAACTGTACAGTCAATCTTGTACAACTCGAGGACCCTCTTTAGCCATGTATGGGGCACCGAGTTAAATGCCTTTCTGTAGTCTATCCAGGCGGCGGAGAAGTTCCGACGGTTGCGTTTCACCAGGTTGTCAATGACCGCGTCAATGAGGAGTGGTTCCTTAGTTCCACGACCGCCGCCCCGACATCCATTTTGAGTGCGTGACATCACCTGATTCGAGTTCAGGTGACGAGTGATTCTCGCGCTCAAAATGGACGTTAGTGCCTTGTATATGGTCAGTAGACACGTGATGGGGCGATATTTGCTCGGGTGTGTGGTACCCTGGTCTTTAGGAACCAAATGAGTGATCTAAATAGTGAAGAGGCTTGGGAGCAACTTCTGGCTGAGAGCCTTTTGAAACTGTCGGGCGAGCACAGCGTGACATACCATGAACCCCTTCAGCCAGTAGTGATGCAGACCGTCAAGCCCCGGACTTTTCCAGTTCGGGGCCCTACGGACTGCCTCAGCTACGTCATCCGGCGTTATGATGACGGGGTCCATAGGCGTAACACCCGCACACTGACTTGGCACAACTTCCGCCCAAGGGCCCTCACTGTGGTTTACGGGCTCTGACCACAGGCTGCGCCAGAATGCGACCGTGTCGGCCTAATTCGGTGCTGGGCCCGTTCCACTTACCATTGGTCGCTCCAATGATTTATAGAGCCTCTTCTGATCACTCTGGAAGGGACGATTCTGGTTGAACCGTGTCGACTTCTCGGTATATCGCCGAATCCGCTTTCCCCAAGCAGCGATTCTCTGTTTCAAGTCGTCTATGCGCTCCGTCAGTTTTTGCATTATATCCGGCTGGGACAAACTAACATTTGTCCAGGCTGGGATAGCACTACTTTGTCCAGTAGTGCGTCCAGCCGTAGAAAGTTTGGCGCCTATAATACGGCAGACTGCCAGTGCGGCGCCAAAAAGAATTGAGTCCGTCTCGCATAGGTCCCGACTGGCTTCCAAATAGGTTACCAGCATTGGGTTCAGAGCCCTCGCGACAGCCCGATTTCGCTTGCTTAGAGTTATGCGGGGAAGTCCCGGTCGATTTTCGAGAGGCGTACTGCGTGTTTCCACAATCGCCTCTTCCAATGTACTCCTCATTTTCTCTAGTTCAAGTTCCTGGGCGATTGTTCCATCATCGTTTGAATCAACCACAACTGGGGCATTCACGGCGGCATCCACGTTTGCCGTTTGCTCTGCAAGTTGTGGCGCCGCATCCTCAGCCGTAGTATTTTCACCCGATGAAGGAACAGCCTAACGTCGTAGCCGTTCGAGTTCGGCGACATCAAATATATTTGAGCGCAAGATATACCGAACTCAGTCTGCCAGGTTTTGATCTGTGACGGTTATAGATGGCTCCAGCTTATCAAAAAGACGATGCATCCTAGCACGATATGCCACACCTCCAACTTCTCCCCCTTTCACCCTAATTAACGCCCGCAGTGCTTTGGTATTCGTTTTGATTGTCCATCGCATGCGGCGTACTCCACCAGTGGCGGGTGCCGATTGCTGGGCCCGCGAAGACCCTGCCGACACCAAGCCAGCTAGTTGGGATGATGGATGCGAGGGGCTGATGGGTGGTCGTGCAGCACCTCTCGCTCGGCTGGCGGTTCGCATGCTGTCGCGTCCAGCGCCAGCTCCAGACGCGCCCTGGCGACCTCCAGACAGCGGCCCTTTGCGCGTTTTTCCGTATTCCATCATCACATTATTATTATTATAAAGTTCAAAACCTTTATTAAACTAAGTTTATATAAAAAGGGTTAATATAATTTTAAGGAATTTAAGGGTAAAAATAACCCCTTTGATATCTACGCTACCAAGCTATTTATAATTTGTTTTGTGTTGACTAATTGTGATTTTGTAAACTGTTATTTATTTAAAAAATGTCCCGCTGGGTTTCTTGCTGGTTCTTCCCAGGACAGAGGTTTTTTTCAGAACCAGTGGTAATTAAATATAAGAGTGACTTTCAATAAGTATTATTTATAATCTTTATTAAATAAAAAAGTTTATGTTTCATCATCGTAAGTACTTAAATACTTTCTAATAAACAAATGTCGTACTTTAATCCGTACTGCTCATAGAGCACATGCATAATCTCCATACTTAATAGGAAACACTGCATACTGTATTCTATCTCATTTTCTTGCAGGTTAAATCTTATACATGTATGAGTATGTTTGTCTCTTTTTAGTGTCGATTTTCGTTTCCTCTAGTTTCAAACCACAACTATTATAAAGAAGTCTTCACTTCACAAAGAAGCTTACCCTCCCCGTGTATAATTTGGCAGAGCTGGTGGTACAGTACGCGGCCATCTTGTGTACGGAAATAGTCAGCGAGCTGCGAGATTTCCTCGTCAGTCAGCCCGATCACCGAACGCAGTGGACCAGTTAGCACCGATATGAACTTCGATTCTGAATGCAAAATAAAAAAATTTTATAACTATTTCTACGTGGTGACAACGTGTCTGTAACCCTGCCATTCGTGGTAGAGTCACGCTGCAGCTATATTATGGTTGTTGCACGAACGAATCTGAGCTCAACTGAGAAGGGATGTTCTCACAGAATACCAGCGTCAAATAGCAGCTTAACGCTGCTGTGTTTCGTATGGTGAGTGAAGAGAACCCAGACCCTTTTTACTTACTGGAAACAAGGCATTACATCTTAGCCTTCAAGGATGACAACACATCTGCATTTTGATTCTTTACCGAGGGTAGTTGAACATAAATGGACCAGAGTATCCTATATATGTATATGATTTTGTGTTCGTCTGTTACCCTTATTCTACGAAAAAAGGAATGATTACTAATATAATGGTAGGACTCTCCTTTTTTGCCTAAGTCTAGGTAGTTACATTGCTGTATTCCGGTCGGAAGGGCTTAGAGAGCCAGTATAATTACCGGCTGTGAGGCATTCCATCTCAGTCTTGAGGCATTGTATCTCAGTCTTGAGGCATTCTATCTCAGTCTTGAGGCACTCCATCTCAGTCTTGAGGCATTCCATCTCAGTCTTGAGGCACTCCATCTCAGTCTAGAGGTATTCCATCTCAGTCTTGAGGCATTACATCTCAGTCTTGAGGCATTCCATCTCAGTCTTGAGGCATTCCATCTCAGTCTTGAGGCATTACATCTCAGTGTTGAGGCATTACATCTCACTCTTGAGGCACTCCATCTCAGTCTTGAGGCACTCCATCTCAGTTTTGAGGCATTCCTTCTCAGTCTTGAGGCCTTCCATCTCAGTCTTGAGGCACTCCATCTCAGTCTAGAGGCATTCCTTCTCAGTCTTGAGGCATTCCATCTCAGCCTTGAGGCATTCCATCTCGGTCTTGAGGCACTCCATCCCACTCTTGAGGCATTTCATCTTAGTCTTGAGGCATTCCATCTCAGTCTTCAGAAGTGACAACGTATAGCCTTCTTTGCTTGTCGTTAGTTAGCCGCAGCACCCATGGAACATTAGATGGCCTGTTAGTTTGCTTGTCAGTTCAATTTTATAAAAAAAGACAAAAATATACAATTAAATACTTAATGTGTCATACATTGTCACTGCATCTAGTGGTGAGCCGCCCTTAACTTCAAGTTTTTACTTATTTAGCTTTTACGACCTCATAAAGAACTTTTAAATACGCTGCTCTACAACTTAAAGATAATAGTATATTTCTTGAACAGTTATAATACAAATTTTTCTATAAAATATGTAAAAGCGTCTACTTTAAAACCCACACCGGGGATTTACTCCCAAAAACGAACTAAGAGCGGGCAACAAAGAAGGAAACAACTCACCCCACAGCAAACACACTATAAAACACTCCCCCCTCAAAGAAAAACCCCCCCAAAAACACAACAAAACGGGCCCCCCCCCAAAGCTCCAACACAGAAAAAAAAAAAAAAAAAAACCAAAACAACAGCACACTAGATTTAGATGTTCTCTTAGTTTTCAAAAGGAGAAAATGGGGCAGAAGAATGGTAAGAAGGTTTCTCGTTGCTTTAATAATGATTGAAGAATCTACACATTGCTATAAAATTTTGGTTGATTATACAAAAGCATTTTAAATAAATGAGATTTATTTGCACCAGATATAAGGCAGTTGCCGTCGGGGTCTAGCGGTCGATACCAGTCCCACAGGTTGAGTCCCACGCGGAACGCCGCCGCTCGGATCTTGTTACACGTTTTCCACACATCAGCCAGCCGGAGTGTCTACAACGATTTCTTCTGATAAGTATTTAGATTGAGATGAATTAGAAAGGAATACTTCACAGAAACGTTTCGTAAAAATATTGCAATATTTAGTACTGCTGACGCAGGCATCGCGTTGTTTCTCTGTGTAATATTTTGTAGGTAATATTTTATATAGTGGGAAACGAACACACGGTCCACCTGATGGTGAGTGGAGTCTGTGGCCCGTAAACATCTATATTTATACTCAATTAAGAATCTAACTGCAAATACGTTATTATCCCTGAGAACTAAGATGGTACACAACATTTCCAGTAAAGAGTCTTTGGTTCACGTTTGTATTTTAATTATTAATCGAGGATAAATGTAGATGTCTATGGGCCGCAGCATACATTTACCATTAGGTTGACTGTGTGCTGGAACTTCATTCTACATTAATAAAAAAGGTTTTAAGTAATATATATACTACGTACTACAAGAGAGACGCCGAAACATAGTTAATAAAAAGATACGCTGATTTTGTTCATGTGTACAGCACATAATATTGCTTCAATGAATAAAACTACCTTTACGAATTTGTTGGTGCTTAATTTCAATTTACTGTAAAGTCCTCGAAATGCAGGAACTTTTAAATGTAAAAATTAAACGTATTTATAATCCAGATAGCTAATCGAAATAATGCTTCCAATTACTATTTTTTACTTTAAACGCGTTTTAAATCTTTATTAATCTTTGTTATTTATAGAATACTACCTAAATCATTATATAACGAAAATGAGATCTCAAACCTTGTCGTGCATTTTTACAATATTTTGACCTTGACACTAATAAATAATAATTTTTCCCAGATATTTTCGCAAATTCATGATAATATTAGGTGGATAAATGAAGATTTCTTCGCGCGAAATTTTGATAAAATATTGAAAATAGTAATAAACTGGTCACCACTCAAAAGAGCTTCGATAATTACAGCTGACAGTTCAATCAAGATGGCCGTCGATCTCTGTTAAATTTGACAATGGATTTTTTTTACTTGAGTTTTTCTTTGGTTCCAGACCTGTACTTTTATCTGTGCCAAGTACCAAATGATACACGATGATTTTTTCTACCATCAGGGCGGTGCCACTTTGGATTGAGGACAGATTTCATAGTGGGAGGAGTAGAGAGGAATTATATAACATAGGAGGAGAGATTAATTTGTTAGAAAAGTAAGTATATAAATAAATAATGACAATAATAATGATAGTTATCTTTATTGCATAAGATTAAGTACATAAGATAACAACAAAAAACTAAAACTAAGCTTATAATTACGTACTTCTACAATTATTATGAAGCTACTGACATCTAATAGGGTCAACTCTATACTAATTTCTATTGAAATAAATTTCAGATGCCAAAGGATACGTCCTAGAAAGAAACTTTTATTTTGTACTTCTATTATGCGCACTAAATATGGTAAGAACAATTTTATAACTCGTGCATGTAAATCATATGGCGCATCCACACATGCCGAGCGGCACGGCCGCGGCCAACACGCTTATCTTTCTTTTTTTTTGCTTTTGGTTGCTGGCGGCAGTTTATTTGCGGCTTCGATACGGAGTGATAGTGTTGTGTCAAATAAAATATTTTGTCCATATTTAACGTCTAATATAACATCATAATTTATATTTAACATTTAATATAACATCATAATTTAACAGTGGTATAGCCGCATGCATGGGCCGGCTAAAACCGGGGTGGTACCACGACCTCACAGAATACCGGCGTGAAGTGAAAGATCTGCTTCCGCGGTTTGTCTGGTGAGTGCAGGTGGCCGGAGGCCCAATTCTCCCCCCCCACCTATTTAACATGGTAGCGGAATTAAATGAAGATCTACCCCAGGAGGGTACCAGCACCCCTGGATAATCCCTCGTTGAGCATCCACGACCAAGTTACTCCACTCCTGAACATGAGTGCTAAGGCTGCCTCGCGAATTCTGGGGGGGGGGGGGGCGAAATTTCGCTCTAAACAATAACTGCTCAGGGCAAACTGAGCAACTAGACCAAGGCGACCCTGCCACGCTATCCGTGAATTTCGCAAAATCAGGGGACTTCATTCTAACCTAAACGCCGTTCGCTTCCATTTCGAGACGGCGAGGCCAGCTCTGCACTTTCTGACCGAGACGCAGGTGTCCATCTTCGGCTGATGCTTCGTATCTCTCCTACTCGGGGTACAAACTGGAACACTGCTTTGGGCTTGAGTTTGCGTATACGTCAGAGAGGACATCTGTTCTCGACGCCTCGGCAGTCTTGAAGGTTCGAACCTGTCCATCCATTGGCTACGCGTAGACAGCGACGACCATCCGCGCGTCTACGGGCGCCTCTATAGGTCCCATAGCGTTAATGTCGAAACAGACCGACTCTTCGAGCACGTCCAAAGGGCTACAGATTCGTTGCTACAGCAGATCCCCTCCGCAGAGACCGCGATGCTCGGCAATTTTAACGCCCACCACGCCAAATGGCTTGGTTCACGTTCAACCAATCATGTGAGGAGATCTGTTCATGATTTTGCCTTGGCATATGGTCTGACACAACTGGTTACTTCGCCTACGCAGATTCCAGATGTGGAGGATCATGCACCTTCCCTGTTGGACCTTCTGCTGACCTGTCATCCGGACGGATATCAGATTTCCGTCGATGCCCCTTTAAAGGCTCCTCGGACCATTGTCTTGTCCGGAGTGTGGTGCCACTCACGTTGAAATCACGGTTGCATTCTGCAGGCTGCCGCCGTGTTTGGCACTATAGGTCAGCTGATTAGGATAGAATGCGGTATTTCTTTGCATTCTACCCTTGGGAGCGGGTTTGCTTCTCTCCGGACGATCCCAACGTTGCTGCTGATTATGTCGCTGATGTGGTACTTCAGGGTATGGAACTTTTTATTCATTTATCTGTGGTGCCCATCGGAGACAAATCTCAGCCATGGTTTGGTCGCTCCTGTAAAATATATATGCCATAAACAGAAGTGCTACCAGGCCTGGGCTGACGAATCAACGTCCCGGGATGTAAACACCAGCGCTCTAAAAAAGAAGTATAATTCCGCCTCCATGTCCTTCAAAAGAGTCATTGCCAAGGCAAAGTCAGAGCACATAGGCAGAATTGGCGAGAAACGAGTTCGCCTTCCTTCTGGAACCCGTGCATTCTGGTCTCTCGCCAAGGCTGTCCAAGGGAATTTCTGTCAGCCATCTCTTCCATCTCAGCACAGGGAGGACAACTCGCTGGCCCATGCCGCAAAGGAGAAAGCCCATCTGCTAGGCTCTTTCTTTGCGTCCAACTCGACTCTCGGTGACGGAGGGATTATGCTGCCGACCATCCCGCGGTGGGAGTGCTCCATGCCAGAGGTGAGGTTCACACAGCGCCTGGTTCGCAAAGCACTCCTCTCCCTGGACATTCACAAGTCGAGTGGGCCTGACGGTATCCCTCTAATTGTGCTGAGGACGTGTGCTCCAGAGTTGGTACCGGTCTTAACACGTCTTTTCCGATACTCCTACTCCCTAGGCGTAATCCCAAAATCATGGAAGACGGCTTTCATCTACCGCATCCCTAAAAAAGGTGACCGCTCAGACCCGTCCAACTACAAGTCCACCCCCATCACCTCCTTGTTCTCCGAAACAATAGAGTCCATTGTAACTGCCAGCTCACGAGGTACCTTGAGGATCACCAGCTGATTAGTGATCACCAATACGGTTTTCGTCGTAGTCGATCAGCTGGTGATCTTCTTGTCTACCTGACTCATAGATGGGCGGTGGTAGAGTCCAAGGGGAAGGCATTGGCTGTTAGTTTGGAAATTGCGAAGGCCTTCGATCGGGTTTG